CCATGGGACAAATTGTGTCCTGGCATTAGGGTCTCAGAATTCCCATGTTGAAAATATCTGTTTAATTTTTCGAATCCAATGCTTACCAAATATGACCATAGAACCTCATTTTTTTCCCCACAAAATACTTGTTAATATTAATACTATGGAATACATTTTGGGAATTGGACATTTATGCTAAGGAATTTTACAAGACATAAAAAAATCAAAATCACTGGATAATCTAGGATAGTGTTTTTCAAAGTGCCTTTTGCAGATCTTTAGGAGGCATGAATGTATTCTCAGTAGTCCATAATATCTCTGGAGAATTCTGAAATGATGTGATTTTAATTACATAATAACCTTAAAATAGTAATACAAGCATATTATGGACCATGTTGATGAACACATTCTAACAGTATTGCTCATAAGATTGTAACAGGTTTCTCGTAAGATTGGCTTGTAATTGTCTTACATTGATTTAAAAAATAGAGATGAAATTAAATGATCACTTGCTCCAAATGAAGGCCAAAAATGGTAGGGTTGATTGTACAAATTAAGGTTTAATAAAGAGAAGTAGTGAGAGAATTGAGCCATCATATGACAAACGTATTAAAAGCATGTTTTATCTCAAAATAATCTATTCTGTGGCAGATATTTCAATATATATTGAAATGCTTCAATTTCAAGGAAACACCCTTCACATTACTATAATTTGAAGCCTACTTATTTTATGCTTTTATTCATATTTATTTTGAAAATGTTTTGGTTTATAGATGTATATGACCTTAAGCTTGAGAACTTTCTATCTAGTTTTATGTTTAGAACTTTGTAATTTTTGCAGGTTTAAGTCATATTATGATAAAAATAATTGAAGTCAAAACTAGGGGTACATGAAAATTATTTATGTGTGGAAACACTGTTCTAGGATATTTCTATTACATTTCTGAATGTATCATATAGTATTTTAAAAATATTTAGCCAATGTTTAAAATTGGTTTGCATTCCATGGCTATGGCATTCCATGGCATCATATTTTTAATTTGCTGTGAAGCCAGGAAAAGTCTGAAAAATATTAAAATCTCATCATGGATGACCATGAGTTGACTGTGTTTAATATCATTGCAGATAAAAAGAGCTTTATTGAACTATTCAAGTAGGGCAACGTCAGGTTTTATGGGTTTTTTTTTTTCCAATCTCTATTGTCTTCAAAAAAAATTCCAAACACAGCATAAAACATTATGCAAAACATGGTTTCAACTACCCTCTATAAGTCAATGACTCCTGATCTTTATTTCTAGACCCATTTGCTCACTTTAATTCCAGATGCACACTTCCAGTAGTCTACTAGACATTTTTAGCTGGATGTTCAACAAGTATTTCAAACTCATTCAACCCCAAATTCAAATCTTATATTCTTGTTCTAGGTCAATGATGTTACTTCCATTCAGTTTCTCAAACTCGAAACTCTGAAGTCATTTTCCACTTGTTTCTTTTCATCACCCTCACCCTCACATCACCCTTACATCAGTGGTCAGCAAGTCCTGCCGATTCTCCTGTGCCCTCGCCATTGCCTTAGTTCAGGCTTGCACCATCTCTCAGCTGATGATTGCAATAGCTGCCTACAGAGATTCCTTGCCACCAGTTACCTTCAATGCCAATCCAGCTTAAAATAGGAAGAACATATCTGATCTCACTGAGAGTTCTCAGTTGACTTGCTTCTGCTTACATGAGCTGGCCTAGTTTCATTTACTGAGACTTCTTACAAGGCTGTGAATTTAGTGAAGGCAAGGGCTCTCTCTCCTTCATTTTTGTGTCTCAGTATTTAACGAAGCTCCTAGCATGCAACTGGTGCGTGCTACATGTTGTTGAATGTTGACAGGGCACCAGTGAGTGGCTAAGAGCACAGGCTTTGGAATCCTACAGAGCTAGGTTTAATTTCTGCCTCCTCTGCCGCTTAGTTGCCAAGTGACCCTGGGCAAGTTAACTTTAAGACAGTGGTTCTCATCTCTGGCTTCACATTAGGATTACACAAAGAATTTATTAAAAGGGTGCAGGTCCCCTCTTCAGCCCAGTTAAATCAGAATATATGGAGGGTGGAGGCTCAGGCACTAAAAATTTTAATAGATCCACAGATGATGCTAACATACAGCCAGGGTTGAGAATCACTGCTCTTGGCCTTAATTTCTCAGATACTATATAGTATCTGTTTTAAAAAGGTTTTGGGCACGTGAAATGAAATTGAACTTAGCATAGTACCTGGCACATAGTAAGTGCTCAATCATAGTGTTAATACACAACGGCAATTTGTAACGTTCTTCCTTCTCAATCACTACCCCCCAGTTACTCTGGCTTCCCTTCAATTCCTAGAATGTACCAGGATCTTCCAGCCTTGGTGCCTTCACACTTGCTCTTCACTCTGCTCTTAGCAGATCCCTCTCCATCTTCAAGTCACACTTGCAGTCAGACACAGTCTCCAGGTGTTCCCCTTTATTCTCCATCACAATATGGAGATGTTCATAGTCTTCATAGCTGCCTCGATTTCAAATGATATGTTAATTTAACTGTTTACTGTCTGTTCCTGCAACTAGACTGCAAGCTTCACAAGAGCAAGAACCTGTCTGTTTTGCTTTCCTCCTGAGGTCCAGAGCCCAGTGCCTGGGATGTGCTAGATGTTCAGGTGATAGTTGTTGAGGGATGAATGGATTAATAAATGATCCATCCTGTAATCACAAAAAGGCAAAATTCCTTGACTTTGTGTGTCCCTCAACTATATGTATCCTCACATCAAAATACCACAACAAAAAACAAGACCAAAGCTCTCCAAAACCAGGACTGTCTCCAGTGTTTTGGGTTCTAGCTACTGAGCTACTGACTAGGAAAACTGCAATACTTTTTTTTTTCAATGTTTTTAATTTGGGTAAGGCTTCTGGGTCCAAGGTTCTCAGAGGCTTACTGAAGGCTTAGTCATCAACCCGTGGGCAATAATTAATGTTAGTCTAACAACATCTCACTTCAACAAGGCAAATAAACTTCTGTGGGTGTTTGTATTAGCTAAGTAAAGAGTTTTTCGTTTTCTAAGTTTACCTTTTGGCCCATTCAGTTGGGAGACCAAACAATACCCAAGGTTAAGATAAAAAACTTTTTCTGAAGTCACAGAATTATCAATTCATTGATACCTTTGCCTATGAAAAGAACCTTAGAAAAAATTTAGACCAAACCCTCATTTCACAAATGAGGAAAAAAAAGGCCTAGAAAAATGAATTTATGGGACATGCTTATGTCCTTGCTGTCACAGCACCAGGTTTCAGGAATCCTTCACCTGTGTGTTCTATAGGCCATACTACACCACCTGCAAAGTAACCCAAAGTTATTCTAATTTCTCAAAGTTCTTAATCAATTTACAGTCTTTTGATTACAAATTGAGATTTTTAATGTTTCTATGATAATAACAAATATCTAGTCCAAATTCATGAGCTTGACTTTCAGATCTTATATGTCTCACCATACATCCTTCCGGTACTCCAGCCTCTACAATCTGTTTCATGTTTTTCCAACCAGAATGCACAGCCTCATCACATCTGCCTACTTATCCTCCATGCCTACTGAAAGACTACATCTTCCATGAAAATTGTCCTCAAACCTAGTCAGAAGAAGACAATGGCTCTTTGCATTTCTCCTAAGGATTCTGTATTCTGCCTTGTACTGCAGCAGGAATGACTGCACTGGATGTAAGAATATTAGGAACTGGTGCCACATGGTTCTTGCTTTTTAGGTCTTGCCCCTCCTTGCAATTGATAAATAAACTAAAATAAATGTTTCTCTAGGCTTGAGTCTTCCATAAGCATTTTCTTGAAGACAGTTTCGAAGCGTCTAAGAAAGCTGGGTTAGAGAAGGCACGACCTGGCTGAACAGGACTCACGTGGCTCTGCAGAGAGCCATGATATCAGCACATTTTGAAGTCACTCTCTCTTTTGTGGGTGCTTTTCTCTTTTTCTAAAATTCCTCATCCATTCAGTATAACCGGTCCAAATCTTTTTTTACTGGTAGTGTAAAAACTTACACGAGACAAATTTAAGAGCTATAGGAGACATTAGAGAAAACGAGAAAGATTATATAAATACTTGCCTAGATGCATTTTGTTGCAAATTTTTCTTCTATTTTCAGAAATAAATGTACCCAGAAAAAGGTCAGAAACAAAAAAATCCATCTTATCAAAGTTTACCAGTTCAAAGTAAAAAAGTGCAAAGGAATTTCACCACTCACACCCCTTTGCAAAGCTCTTAAGCAATTATTCTAGGCTCAAATTTCATCCAGAACTTTCCTCAAGACCATTATGTAACCCGATCACATCCATATTATAGTACTATTTCTGACAAATAAGGGGTTATAATTTTCTCCAGTTTGTTTGTATTTGTATTTTCTGTACTTTGCCGTAAACCTCTAAAGCTCTTCATAGGAAAAGAAGTGTCCACAAACCACTTTAGCTGGTCGAACTTGGGGAACGATTATCAGTGAAAACAGCATAAAGTGCTGTGGGATGGAGAACAGAGAAATATCAATTATGCCTTTCTCCCAAAATAAGTTCTGATTAGTAAGGAAAGAAAAAGGTAAAGGGTAAAGCCCGGCAAAGCCACAAAGACACTGAGTCAGTGTCCTAAGAGGAAGAACCGGCCGCCCGCGCGCCAGAGCGGTCAATTCGGGTCGAAGGAGGGGGACCTGCGAAAGGCCGCGCCTCCAGAGTGTGTGCGTGTGTCAGTGCGCGATTCCCTGACACCGCCCACACGCCTGGGCACTTGTCACAGCCCAGGGCTGCCTGGTCAGCAAACAACAGCTGATCGGCCACACCATCTACACAGTCCACACCTCTACCCAGCCACTAACGCCTCGGCGACCGGAAGCCCTTTTGCCCCCACTCGCTGGCCTACCACGTAGTTTAGGTAAAAACCGGAAGTTCCTTTGCCCCGATCGTTCGGGCGCGTCCGCGTTGGCCGCACAGGCGCAGTGGAGCTCGGGCAGAGTTGTGGGCGGGGAGGAGAAAGCGGCGGAGGGGGGCGGGGCCGGCCCCAGAAGATGGCGGAGGCGGGGGTGAGTTGGGGTCTCCCGGAAAAGCACTGGTCACTTGGTACTGAGGGAAGCGGCCTGAGGAAGCGGGTGGCCATCGGGAAGAGGAACTGCTTGTGTTTTTGCTGCCTAGGAACCTTGCTGGCAAGTTCGGGGAGCCGGACCACGGATGGGGCCTCAAGGGCTAGGGGCTCCGCTTACCTGGAGAAGGGTCGGCGAGGTCCGGAAGGGGACGGCGGGGCAGGGAGAGGTCCTAGGAGAGGCCGAGGCTCCCCGAACAGTGGAAAGTGTCCCAACGGAAAGAAGACTAGAGGGCGGAGGGCAGGGCGACCCTGGAGATCTGATGGGGGTGGAGGTTGGCGAGCTGTCAAGCACAGAGCCGCAGGACTTGGGAGGCTTTTAGCCAGGGAGAGTCAGGCTTGGTAGGGGGAAGGATCTAGAAAGGTAAGTATTGCAGTAAGTTTAGAATCCGCAAAAAGCTATGTTGATATTGGGTTGAGGAGTGGGTCTTTGGCATTTTGGATTGGAATTGGAAACCTTTGGAGTACGTGTGTGGGTAACGCCAAAGAGGACTCTTGCCGGGACCTAGAGGTCGGTTGGTAATAGTTACTGGGATTTTAGGGTTGGTCAGTGGGAATTGGCAGTTTGGAAAAGGAAAGAAGTGTGGGTGACGGGGGGCAGGGGGAAGGGTGCTAATACTTAACTGATAATGACCCATACCCACTTAGTATTGGAAAAAAGTTATTAAAGTATGATGTTAGCTCGGTAGTCTGGGAAGATACATATCTTCCTAAATGAAGAGCTTCCTACTGGAGGATTGATGAGGAAATGCTTTAGGAAGGGATGAACAGCCTTGACAGCTGGGTCACTGAAACTGACCCAGATCAGTATTGCAGTGGGGTTGAGGATTGCAGAGGAAGACAGCCTCCTGTCTTGGGTGCATGACGAATGAAGGCAGTCAAGCAGTGGCTAGATTGTGTTTTCCAGTCTCGGTGTTTGGCTCTGTTAGTGAAGCACCGAGTGGAAATGAAGGAAGGGATGGCCCACGAACAGGGGCCCCACAGAAGAAAATTAGCCGTGTACTCTTCCTCTTCTCCGTTTCCTTCTTTCTCTGGACATTATGTTCGGTAGTGTGTTTTGGTATAGTTCTCAGTGCATATCTGATCTCAAGTGACTAAGCTGTGAATCATATACATTTGGGAAAGACTTTGAGTGTGTTTACACTGACAACTGTTGCTTTTACCTATTGTGGACTGAAAAGAAAAGGATAAAATACAGTTCAGTAATTTAAAGACAACTTGTTTCCTTGTTATAAGAAAATTATTCCTGAACGACAGAGTAGCTATTTTAGGGACTGAGATTTGATGTTTAAGAGCAGTAATGGGGTATGATTGCTACTTGCTTAATGGTTTTCGTGTTTGGGTTTTAATATTGAGAGGAAAGATGAGTTGCAGTGTCAAAGCAATGTGTTTTTCTTCCTAGAAGTTTTTAGTGTCCATAGCCTGTGGTTCACATTTGTGTACTTTTATTTAAGGAGAGTTAAACTTTTTAATTGACTTAAGTGTGTTTTTCCTAATGTTAATGCTTACTCTATTTCGAGAATGCCGTTCTAATTAAGAGCATATGATGAAAAAGGTGTGAGGTAGTCATTTAATTTTATTATTTGGTAGCCTGTCTGACCCAAGCACCTGAAGGGATAGGGTAATCTGAGGGAGCGAATGTGCTTCTGTGACTTCTGGTCATTGGAGGATGAATGATCTTGTTTGGTTTTAGGGGGTGTTACACTTATTAAAATACGACCGGTTCTTCGGGTTACTGGGAGATTTTGTGTGTTTGCTTTCAAATGCCTATTTCCTGAAAGTTCTTTTAGTGGCAGACATAAACTTTGATTTTCATTCACAAAGCCCAGAATCACTTATTTATCTAAAAGTAGTAATATTGTAACATTAACCCATTAACAAGCAGTTATATACCTGGAATAATGTTTTTCCAGTTTTGATGATTCATTATTGACCCATCCAAACTATTTGAACTATTTTTCTTTTTGTTCAGTAATGTGCTTTATAGAAATTGTAGGTCAGGGCTCAAGGAAGAATGTTTCACGTACCGTGTAAGTTTTTTCTTTGTCGGTTTTTGAAAAAAGGCATTACTTTGGTATTAACAGTAATTTATCAACATGACTAAGAATTGTTTCTTGTGTGGCACTGAGATTGCTTTTGTATGGTGTTTGTAGATGGAGACGACGTGGTGACGTGGAGAGACCTCTGCGCACGGAGTCACAGTGCTTGGGCTGGTCAGGGTGCTGCCTGGTAACAGTCTTATGATCTCAGAAAGTTGTTTAACCTATTTTGTTTTGTAAAATGGTATTATAAACACCTGCCTACTTCCCAGTACTATTGTTAAGGATCTGTTGAGACACTGCCTCTAAACAGTATCTTTATACCAGAGACTGATTCCCTGATCAGCAGATTATTTCTCGAGTAATCTAAATTTTTCAAATAAAGATTTTTTTTAAATTTTGGAGAGTCAAATTTATCATTGATGTAATAATAATGTTTGAAGGTATAGGTATGCTTTGTTTTAAGGAAATAATATCAGTACGTAATCAGAAAACCAAACTTTAAAACAAACAAATTAGGGGATATTTATTCTAAGAGTTTTTGTTTTAAAATAACCCACTCCTCTAGTGTGTGTGACTAATATTATGAACAACATGCTTTGTTAGGAACTTAATTGTCGCATAGTAGGGAGTGAATGGGCTTGTGGAATTTCTTATCCCTTTGATGAGTCTAGTTGTCTCCAGGAGTTGACTTTTTATATTTGTGGTACCCAGATCCATTACAGTCTTATTCTTGTTGCTTCAGTTGACCACTTTGGGTCTCATTTGCTTTGCTGGTAAAATGAGAGAAATGTTAGATCATTGGTTCTTAACTTCTTATGTATCGTGAACTTTTTCAAAAACCTGATGTGAATTGTGGAACCCTCTTTCCAGAAAGATGTACATATACACAACTTTGTTTTAGTTTTGTATCAGGCTCACATACCCCCTGGAGTAGATGATCTTCCAGTTCCCTACCGTTTCTTAAATTTGAGAATACTGTGATTCGAAGCATTTTAATTTTTAAATTTTTTTTAACTAAAATTTTTTAACTTTTATTTTTTATTTTTGTCTCCAGTAATTATATACTGTTGTGTTATTATGGACAGTCATCCCTCGGTATCCATGGGAGATGGGTTCCAGGACCCCTGTGGATACCAAGATCTGTGGGTGCTCAAGTCCTTTATAAAATAGTGTGGTATTTGCATATAACCTAAGCACATCCTCTGTGTACTTTAAATCATCTCTAGATTACTTATAAATAATACCTAATACAATGTACATGCTATGTAAATAGTTGTTATACTGTATTGTTTAGGGAATTATGACAAGAAAAATAGTCTGTTCATGTTCAGTACAGATGCAGACATCATGGCCCTTGCCATCTGCAGTTGGTTGAATCCGTCGATGTGGAACTGGTGGATATGGAGGGCCAGCTGTAGTCACAAAATAAGCTGTTTGGACTTTTAAAATATTAGCTCTTTAATTTTATCTCATTCAAATAAAACATCAAACAAATGTTGTGTTGTTTTTAGAGAAAACTTTTGGGGTGAAGTAGGAAACTGTAAACAAACACTGCCAGGAAAGGTTAAATAAACATCTGTGGCAGAATAACGTAAACAAATGGTTTAGAAATTCTCTAGCAGCTCTGAAATAGAAAGAGTCTACAGCCATCATTGGCTCTTAGTGGGAGGGCAGTTCCTCTCTGGGGGCGTTTGGAAATAGGTAGGGACGTTTTTGGTTGTCTCAAATTGGGGAGGGGGCATGCACTGGCATTTAGTGGGCGTGAGCTGGGGACGGCCAGTGTTTTGCAATGCTTGGGGCAGTTCCGCACAGCAAGGAATTGTCCCGTCCCAAATGCCAGTGCCCTTTGAAAAACACTGGTGAGTGAGTGTGGGATGGGACCACAACTGAAATAGCTTTTTTTTTTTTTTTAAAGATTTTATTTTTTCCTCTTTCTCCCCAAAGCCCCCCAGTACATAGTTGTATATTCTTCGTTGTGGATCCTTCTAGTTGTCTCAGCGTGGTCTGATGAGCAGTGCCATGTCCGCGCCCAGGATTCGAACCAACGAAACACTGGGCCGCCTGCAGCGGAGCGCACGAACTTAACCACTCGGCCACGGGGCCAGCCCCTGAAATAGCTTTTTAAACTGGAAGTTATTTTGCTCTTTTAAGTACATTATTCAACATAAAATATTCTTTGCCATTAATTCCCTTTTGGAAAAAAAAATCACAAACATAAATGATTTACTAGAGCAATTAGGGTTACTTAAGATGGATATATACTCTTTGTCCTCTAGTAGCTGTTGTAATAGCAGAAAGGGCGTGTTTGCTGTATCTACTGCAAGTTTGGCAGGTGAAGAGTCAGCTCTTGGTCTAATATACTATGTAAGTTGGCTGTATGAGTTTTCTTCTTTAAAACATCTTTTTACACCTTGATCTACTACTTTTAAAGAAAATTTCAAGGTGTTTGTACATTTATTCTCTTGGTCTTTGTGCCATTATATAGTCACCTACTTATTTTGGCCTCAGTACCTTGAGAACATATTACAGTTGAGATCGTTTTCCATTGTCCACCAATCTTTTCAATACAAAATCCTCTTCTATAGACCATGTGCCAAAAAAGAAGTCTGAGTAGTTGGGCTGGAGTGGGACACAAGGTTTAGAAGGAAGAGGAGGGGTGTGCAATCAGTCAAGCCTAAGGTAAAATTCCAGTTCTAATATCACATGTCATTTGACATAAGTGAGTTGCTAAATCTCTTTGACTTAGTGACTTTATTTATAAAATGAGAATGATTATATCTACCTTTAGGATTATCTTGAAGATTAGTGCTACTATATGTCTGGCATGGAGTAGGCTGTCCCTAGATGGGTGCTATATCAATAGTCATGATGATGATGAAGAAGAATTCTGTAGCTACTGAAGACTTTGCTAAAAGGGACCGGAACACATGAAATGCTGACGTGCTGGATACGACAGCAAGGAGTAGTCTGCAAGACCAGGTTGGGAGGAGATATTTTCTGGGTATTACAGTTGGTGTTTAGAGCATGTTTTCCCATGAATCAGCTGTAATATGTACTGTTTTCTCTAGTCCTCTAAGCTGCAGGGCTCAGTTATGCTAGAGGCTGAGCAGGTTTGGGAGGACTAGCTTGAGGACAGAATTCCCCCCTTGAGTGTTGGGCACAGAGCTTTGGGTGTGGCAGAGGCAATAAAAAAAGTCTGTTGTCTGTGTTTATCACGTGAAACTGATAGGCTGTGAAAGTTACTAGTACTCACAAATAGTCTCATTTTCATACTGATTATTTCTAAAGTCAACACCCCACCCCATTTACACTTGGGTTTTGTTTCAGATTCATTTGTAAGGTAGTTTAAAACTTGGAAACTCAGAGGAAATGTATTTTAAATGATGATTAAGTGTTAGGTTTGCTTTCCCAAAGGCCTGCTTAACAACCCAGTATGGTTTGATTCAGAAAGAGTTAACCAGTTTAAGCAATTACGAATTTGTAGAGCCCTCTCTGGGATAGACAGGCACCTTTTTGAGGATGTAGGCACCGTGGACACTTGATAGTGAATATGACCTACGTAAAAAGTTTACAATCCATATAGCAACTCTGTCTCATTGTTAAGGTAGCTGTGAGAAGTGCCATGCTGAAGTTGTGAAGAAACGACTTTGAGATTCAAAGGAAATATCATTTATGTACTGACTTGCAGTGATGCCCAAGGTGTATTATTGTTGAGTGGGATAAAAATAAGTTACAAAAATAGTCTAGTCTACATAGTATTTTCCCATTTAACAAATGTTAGTATTTATAGAAAATCATAGAATAATAGGTGATAGTTTGGGAGCTGCACGTCATGGTGAGAATGAGGACTTAGGAGCCCGACTGCATGGATTTGAATCTCTCTTGCTAGAGGTGTAAACTTGGTTAAGTGACTTAACCTTTCTTTGCTTTTCTGCCTCATCTGTAAAATGGACACAATAATTGTACTTACCTTTTAGGGTCATTGTGAGAGTTAAATGAGTTACCATATATCAGGGGCATAGAACAGCTCGTGGAAAGCCTCAAATGCTGTTTGTCATAAACAAACACACACAAAGGAAAGATCACTTTGGTTAGGGGAGTGAATGAATACCTAGACTGACTGTACTAGCTAAGTTCTAGATTTTAGGAGTCAAGAGCCGTGCAGGTAAAACTCCTTAGAATCTAGCCATTAGGTGGTTCTTCATTTTCTTAGCTTCCTTTCTTCCACTTCCTACTCTGGCTTTCTCACAATAGCTGCCATGATTGCAGCAAGGGTGAAGTGGGTCAAGGCTAGGGTGGGACGCAGCTATGGCCCTGGGGAGAGCAGGTCAGGTCTGGTTTCTGTGCTTGGTGTTTGTGTAGGTGAGTTGGGGGATGGTCTGTTTTTTGAAAGACGCTTTTGTGCAAAGCTTCGAATATATAAGCATTAAAACGGGTCATTTTGTTCCCCTGTGGAGGTCATCCTCATGAGCAAGTCACATTTTATTTTGAACAATACCACATTTTCTGTCAAAGTATGTTAATTTTCTGTAAAGTATAAATCTATTTATTTTCTGTTAAGTATAAAGATTTCTATCTAAATCTCCGAGTCCTTCTCTTGTAACTGATGGGCTTGGAGATTTAGGTAGAAGAAACAGAAACCTGGATTTTGATCTTCCAGATTCTGGTGGAAGTGCCTCAGATAACCTGCTCTGCTTTTCTCTGAGTGAGGCAAGCTATTTTTACTATTATTCTGACCTTGAAGTCTCTTAGGTCACTTATTCTGTCCTAGTAAATATAAGTATAGCACTTTATTTTTTATTACATCATGCATATAAAAATGGTTTTAAACCACTTCTTAGTCAGTAAATAACTAGTTTAAATAACTATATAAACTTGTCATTTCATTATTTGTCCTTTTAAATTAATTACTATTGATATCAGGAAAGTTATATAATCGTTTATGAGGCAAACATTCATTTCTTTTTTCTTATCTCTTGCAGGGTTTCTGGTAGGTCCTGTTTTAGGACGAGATGCAGTACTGTTGAAACGCTAGTCTGCTTTGATCCACAGACAGTTGGCTTTTCAGCTGGGAAGCCTTTTTTTGGCAGCTTACTGAACTTATGAAACAATGGCAGAAGGAGAGACAGAGTCACCTGGGCCCAAGAAGTGTGGCCCCTATATTTCATCTGTCACTAGCCGGAGTGTGAACTTGATGATTCGAGGAGTAGTGCTGTTTTTTATCGGAGTGTTTCTTGCATTAGTGTTAAATTTACTTCAGATTCAGAGAAATGTGACGCTCTTTCCACCTGACGTGATTGCAAGCATCTTTTCTTCAGCATGGTGGGTACCACCGTGCTGTGGCACAGCTTCAGGTATGTGTAGGTTGTTTTTGTAATGCTTAAAACGAAGTAGGGTAAATGAGTGTGTCTGTTGTCTGAGCAATACTTTTTTTAAAAATCAGCTTTATTGAGATATAACTTCAATACGGTACAGTGGACCTGTTTTCAATCAACAGTTTGATGAGCTAACACAAAGGCGTACAGTCAAGTCGTGTAACCACCACCACGATCCAGCTGTAGAGCGCTTCCGTCACCCACAGATTCTCTTATGCTCTCTTGCAGTCTCTTCCCCACTCCCAGCCTCAGGCTTTCACTGATCTTTCTGTCACTCGATTATTTTTGCCTGTTCCAGAATGTAACGCAAATGGAATCATAAAGTATGTACTCTTGTCTCTGATTTCTATCTGACCTATGAACTTTAAAAATTTAATCCTAAAAATCCTGATTCTCTTAGGGATGAGGCTTTTAACTTCTTAATTTTGTCCTTTCTTCACACCATCTCACGTAAGTCTTATTTTGTTTTGATGATCATCATCACTGTCTGGTTTTAAGGGTTTGATGTACGTCTTATGATCTTGTTTTTGAAGTAGATAAAAACTTGAAAGATAGAATAGTTTTATTCAAGTTTAAAGCTTCATATTGTTATTTTTTTGTATATGCTTTTTTCCTTAGTATGTTGTTTTTAGATGTACCTTAAGAATAATAAATACTTGAAGAGATTAATAGGTAGGTTCCCTTTGCTTAAAATCATTATCCTGTTATTTACACCTTATCTTTCTTGGTGGACAGTGTGTAATGGATAAAGTGGAGCATTCCAGAATGCCTTATTGATGCTGAGCTTCCATAATGGATAGTTCTTTAGCTTTTTCTAATGACTGAGACCAGTAGATTTGAAATATTTTGTGTCATAAAGTAATAGAAGGAAGTCATAATTATGTGGTAGAAGAGTATTCTCATTGAGGGAGAAAACTGCTTTTTGGAACATCCATTTGGTGTCTCTGACTTAATATACATGAATACCTTACGTTAGAATGTAGATCCTTCCTGACTTACATCCTAGAGCTGGAGCTTGAAGAGTGAGGAGTTAGGTGAGAGACATTTTAGAATGACCTTGTGAAGGCTGTTGGACAATTGCATAATCCCATTCATGAAAAGAAAGGCGTTGTTGTGGTAAAGCTTCAGTGTGGTTTATATATTGATGTCTCTCTTACAAGATTCACATTAGAAGAAAAGTTGTAAAGGCAATGATTCTTGTTTCTCTCAGGTTATTACATTCCCCGAGAGAATAGTCCAAATAGTCCAAATGGACAAAGAGAAGAAAGCATAAATTATGTTTTATCGTTCTCTCTTGTATCTACTAGTTCTCATGTATTTTCCTTTAAATTCAAAAGAGTAAAATAAAGTTTTCCCACCATCTTCTTCTAGTTCTTTGTTTCTTTTCTCGTATGGTATAGCTGCTGTTTGGCTACTAATAGAAGCTTTTGGAGACTTGGGAGAGCATGTCTTTTCAGAAGAGAAAAGGAAGATCAAGTGAGGGAAACTGTTTACGTATTGAATGTCTACTAATGTGCTGGGCACACCCCTTAACCCCAGGGATCTGCAGGGCCACTTTGGGAGTGAGATGTTTGGGATGGTGCCTGTTTTGGGGGGATGAGGATATTGAGATAAGAGAGAATACTGGTGAGCCCAGGGTCCAGAGCCAGTGAACGGTGCGGTTAGGTCAGGTGTCACATGCTAAGGAAGGGGACAGGGAGCTACTCACACTTCCTCCTCTGAGACTGCCTCTTTCAGAGTCCCCAGACTAAGTGGCAGGCTAGGATGAAATACACTGGCATGTGGTGCACATTCTGGGCTGGGGCAGGATAACTTAGCTGAGGTTTCATTGTACCTCCATCATGGAAAGGAACAGGGGCCACATCTATCCCTGTGATGTGGGCACTTTTGCCACAAACTCACACTTGGGAAGGAAAATTCCTAAAGTTAATACTACCTTTCTTTCACTTTGTCCCTACTTTCCTTCCTTTTCCCAACTGCTAGATTTAGCGCAGTTACAAACTTTACCTCATACGTTTTCGTTTGGGGGATTTGCATTTACATTTCTGGCTTAAGTGTTTCTTCTAAAAGCAGTGCATTCCATGAGCTATGCCTGGGGAAATGGAAGTAGAGAGGCAGTAGGAAATCTAGATTCCAGTTAATTCTGCTACTGATTTTGTTGGGTAAGTCGTGGTGTTTAGTAGAGGAGGGTGAAGATAGCAGATTTGTGAAAGTTGCCAAAATGGAAAATGGATTCTTGGATAATTGCTTTTTGTCCCCCCTCCCAATTTTAGGGGGAATATTCGGGGGGAAAAAAAGTAAATGATGTAAGAAACATAGAGTGTACGAGTTTGCGTGTGTCTGTAGTATGTGTATGTTTTTGTGTTTATGCGTTGGTACATATTTTCAAAGCTCTAGGCTCTTAGCCATCTTAAATCAGAAAAACCGATAATTTTGCCCTTTGATTTTCCTTTCTGACTAATACTCATAGACTGAGCAGCTGCCTTCTGGAAGTTCTCCAGAATCACCACTTTCTGCACGTAGAAAGAAGGGCCCCTGGTTATTTGCTCTCTCTTTCGGTAATGCGTAGTGCTGGAAAATTTGCTCGTGGTGCTTTTGGAGGGACTAGCAGAGAAGTCGGGTAAATTTTTTTTGATTCCCTTTTCCTTTTCTTACTTGTCTATTTTTAGTGTAATAACGGCTGGTGTTTCAGGTTGATGAACTTCCTTATATGTGCAGTACATTAGAATTGGAGTTAGAAACCTCTTGAATGTGACTAAAGACCACAAAGGAAACCTTCTGAAGAATAAATACGAGAAAGAAAGACAACCATCATTGTGTGGATAAAATAACTAGAGAAGTTGACTCAAAAATCACAAGTAGGGCTGGCCCAGTGGCATAGCAGTTAAGTTTACGCACTCCTCTTTGGTGGCCTGGGGTTTGTGGGTTCAAACCTACACACCACTCATCAAATCATGCTATGGTGGCATCCCACATACAAAATAGAGGAAGATTGGCACAGATGTTAGCTCAGTGACAATCTTCCTCAAGTAAAAAGAGGAAGATTGGCAACTTATGTTAGCTCAGGGCCAATCTTCCTCACAAAAAAAAAAAAGAAAAAAATCATAGGTAACCAGATTGTGTCCATATCTATGAAACTAATATCTAATTTAAAAAGAAAAAGAAAATCTTTGCTGTTTAGTCATGCAGTCAATTGCGCAATTTCTGGAGAGCCCTGAAGACCCCTCCCTCTCTCACCTCCCACATCCAGTTTCCAAGTTTTACATCTTTCTTCTGTCTCTTTCTTAGTCCAGGCTCTCAACCACTCTGCTTGGAATTTTCCATCTTTTCTTGTTCTGCCTCTCATTTTGTACCTTCTCCACCCAGTCCCCTAACCCCTGTCGTGTCGTGCACTCATTGCTGGGAGAGCGATTGCCTCTCTACCCAGTACAAATACGATAGCATCATTTTTCTGATTCCCTAGTATCTGCAGGGTAATGTCTCTGTGGTATGACCCTTGCTTGCTATTATCTTCCTTGGAGTCTTTCTGGACCCTGCAATTCCCTTTCTACCTAAACCTTACAGTTTCCAGGTGATTCTGGTGTTTTCCATTGTCCAAGCTTTTCCTCAGATGCTTCCCTTTGATTAGAAAGCCCTTTCTACACTACTCGCCTACTGAATGCTCCTGCGTCAAGGGTCACCTCTTCTCTAAAGCTTTCTCGACACCCCAGCACCCCGCCTCCCCTCAGCACTTGCCGGGAGAAGACTGGGCCCCTCCCGGCCCTGTCAGTGCTACCCTTAACATACCACTGTATTTAGTTGTTTCTGTGGTCACTTTGGAACCGGGATCATATCTTACTCCTTTTTCTTTTTAAATCCCCAGCAAATATCAAGAACCGGACACACTGTGGGAGCTTAAGTAGCTGTGGAATGAAACATTGCCTATCCTGTAGTAGTTTCCATGAAAGGAGATCTAATTCAGTGGTTTTGTTTTTTCAGCCCCTTTTCCTTGCAAAGGGTTCGATTTCACTGCTCCTTTCAGTGCACCACTGCATTAAGCACTCTACCATGAAAAAGTGATACCTTAATATTGGTGTTTTACAAACTTCTTTTGTTTTCTGTCTTGGTAGGCTGTAACTTGTCCCTGAGAAATAGCTTAAATATATATCAAGAAAGGTGATTTCAGGTCAGAGAACCATCTGATTAAGCAGGACGGTGTTTGCATGTGGTTCTACACAGGCATGATTTTAACAGTCTCTCTTGTTAAAATAAGAAAGTAGAGACAGGCAAAGCAGCCCAGACATACCTCTGCTGTGCTCTCCATCAGTGGAGCCTCACTGTGCGGTGGATACTGCTCTCAGCCTCTGCCGTGCCTTTATTTAAAGGGAAGAAAGAAGACGTTTAATGGGAAGTGACAACCTTCCTTGAATTCTCCCTCTCAGTGAGCAAGTGAGAACCATGCATACTCAATGCATTTGATTTTTATTGGCACATCCCAAGGTTGGCAGCGTGGCAGTTTAAATTCCTTTCTGTGTTTTTGCTTTCCCTCCTCAGTTGTCTCTCACTTGTGAGTCTGACATCACATGCATACAAATATAGTCAATTTTACTTATTTATATCTTTGCCCACACATGTCAGTATTCTCTATGTGATAATTCTTTACCTGTGGCATCAGCTGCTGAGGAAAATTGACTTGGAATGCCTGATCTTAGTTGGTTTTACTCAGCAACAGGCAAAGGGAGGAGAGAGAGAAGAATGACACATGAGCTGTTAGTATCGTGTTAGTATCGTGACCCCTTGACAGAAAAAAAAGAGGTAATATTCATTTAGATATGTTTCAACTGTTAAGCATACTTGTTGCCATTTTAATTTTGTAGAAATTTGGAAGTGCTGTCAGTTAAGCTCAGGATTTTAGAGCAGAGCCTTTGAAATAGGAATATAGTGTGAAACTTTTAAATTTAGTCATAGTTGTTGCAACTCTGCATGGCTGAAATTTGTTGTTAATCTCTTGATGGCCTGGCAACCATCTGTACTCAGCAAAAGCCTGACTCCAAAGAGCGCTTTTAGTTTTGTGGATTAGAAAATGCATCCGTCATTGCAGCAGCTTACCTCCAAATGGAGGGGTGGCCAGGCACCTCCTTTTAATGCTGCTCCATTGCTCTGCCAACCAGTGATTTTTAATATTTATTAATTTCCATTTCTCCTTGAAGATTGAGTGTGTCATTTGTGAGATATAGCTAGCCAATACCAGACCAGGCGGGGGTTTCTGGTCTTCAACCACTTAGATTTTGGTACAATAATTTCACGATACATCGTAGGCAGTATTGGACATTTTAAATGTGCTTTTCAGCTGATGGAACAGTTGTGTCCTTATTACTTAATGAGAGCATAACTCTTCTGTTTTTAGGAAGATTAGCAAAGCAAAACTGCCTAGCTATTTCCTGTTAAATTTAATCTGTGCGTTTTCCTTTTAACTTGTTGAAGAATGCTTTGGTTCATTAAATAGTCTTTTTATTTTTTTTATAACTAACTTAGCATTTAAAGTCTTCTTCCACTAAATGAATAAAATGTTAGGTTTGACAATTATTTAAGTTCATAATTGGGTGACAATATTATGAGTATCAATCATAGACATTTTGCATATATTCATAATTAATTACACAGTTAGTATTCAAGATGTTCTTTCCAGAACTACGAAATGTACTAAAATCATTTCTTTCTATCTTTTAACAGTGAATTTAAATTCTAACCAAAAATTTATAATTCTTATAGATTATGTTTCCTCTGCTTTTCTTATGTGCGGAATGAGTGTTGCATGTTGATTTCTGTTGCGAGTTTCCCTGCTCTGACAGTGTAACCTAGAGTCTCGTTAGAGGGCTAGGTGCAAGGGAGTGCTGGGCTGGGAGCCTGAGACAGGCGGGAGGGGCAGGGATGGTCTAGACGACAGGACAGCCATGGCCTCTGAGCATTGTGTGTATGACGAGCTTCTTGTACATGTTTATGCTGCTAGTCTTTCTTGAGATTTGTGGCGTTTAATAGCATGTTTCATGGTTATATAGCCTAGAGAGAACATTGCTTAACTGCCAGCTGGTTTAATGCTTTTCAAGTCTCAGAGATGTTAGTAGTGGAAAAGTAGCATGAGTCATCGAGTCCAATCTGCTAAATTGTGAATCATTCACTGAAACAGTGTTTTGCCAGTTATAATTTAGAATACTGTTGTAATCATTTACAGTGCTTTCTTCAGTGGTGTTATCCTCATCGTTTTTTTCTTTTGGGAGGTAAGTTTACAAATCTCAGCAATTGATGTCAAGTAACTTGAAGAGCTTTTTTAAAGAATCTTTCCAACGTCATGGTGATTGTAGTAGACTCTTTTAGCTTAAGATTTGCCAGAGCATTGGAGACAACTTAATTTTTTTCTCTTTTTTCCACAGCTGTGATTGGGTTATTATACCCCTGCATTGACAGGCATCTAGGAGAACCACATAAATTTAAAAGAGAGTGGTCCAGTGTAATGCGGTGTGTAGCCGTCTTTGTTGGTATAAATCATGCCAGCGCTGTATCCTTTCTGCTGTAATGAAATGTGTAATAACAAAGCAGCTTCCGACAAACCAAAGGTTAAACAGTCCCTTGCAACTTCGCTGTTGTCAAAGTGTGATATGCCCACTTACTCATAGAAAGAATGTGTGCCGTATTGTTGAAACATCACAGCAGCAGCTATGCAATTACAGTGTGGGGTACAGCCTTTCATTCCAATCCCTAGTTTTCATACTACTTAGAAACTTTGCATATTTAAGAAATTTACATGTTTTCCTTAAATTGGGTTACTTAGTTACTTCTGTATAGTTTTGTTAACTCTAAGATTGAAAGAGGTACATTTTCAAAGGATTTCTTTCTTCTTTTGTTTCTTCATTTAAGATTTGCCAGTAAGGACATCTGGTGGCTTCAGGTGCTGGTTATTTTGTTTGTTTTTAATTTAAAGAACCTATAATTTATTTTTAAATGGTAGACAGTCATTTATTGGTTTTAATCAACACCATCAAACCACATAAATGTTCTTAAAGGTGGCCTAAGTAGAAATATCCAGCTTAGATCTTGGCTAAAAAGAACTTTTTTTCCTAAGGTACATATTTTTAAAGCTTAATCGTTTAAGGATTCTGACATTTTATTTAGTGATTAATGGAGTGTTTTTATAGTGTCCTAGCTGGAAGGATAAGGTAGCCTCAATTTCCCTTTCCCTCTGCCTTCTACTCCTCTACCCCCAGAAAAAAATGTCCACCCCTAGAACAAATGTGTTTGCTGTCATAAGCTCTTCATCTTTCCATTCTCCTTACTTCCTCTCCTCTTCTCCCCCACCACCAACTTCTTTTGTAGAAGGGGATCTGGGAAATGCTAGTTCAGTCTTCTCTTTTCTGAAAGTTATGACTTAGAGAGTCCAGGTGACAGGAGCCTTTGGTACTGGGTAGAGTACGAGTGTGAGTCAGGCTGCCCAGGGTTTCCTCTTGTAACTCTGCACTGGGCTCAGGCCTGGCAGTTAGCTGGAGGGAGGGTGGCTCATGTGGCACATAGATTCCTGTGTCTTTTACAGAAAGTATTGAGGTGTTTTGGAGAAGCTTGGGAAGAGAAACCAAGGAACGTGGCAGAGTCTTAGATTCTGAAAACACATCTGTCTTTCTGTTCCCAGTTGTGCTGGTCCTTGGAGATCTGTGAATTTGGAAGTCTCTCAGTGGCTGTTATTTTGATTTTCCGTTTCCTTTTATATTAAAGAATTTCCCAGTATGTGTATTTTGGTGAAATCTTTGAGATTTAACATTATATAACAAACAAATCTAGCGGTTAGGAGGGCTTAAAAAGATAGACTCATAGAAGAAAACTTAGAAATCTGGAAGAAAACTTAGAAATCACCTAGTTCCCCATTTTCTTTGTAAAAGTAATAAGACACATGAAAGCTAGAGAGATTAGGTACTTTGCTAAGTCATTCATACCTCGAGGCTGTGACGGAACTGAGATAGACCCCAGAGATCCTGACTCAAGTCTAGGACCAGCTCATTCTCCTGCACAGGAGCCCACAAGTGTGTAAATTCCTCCCTGTCTAGTCGTTTAGACCTTTCTATCCCAAACATTTCAGGTATTTTTGTTTCTTTTGAGAAAGTTTAGCCCTGAGCTAACAGCTGCCGCCTATCCTCCTCTTTTATTGCTGAGGAAGACTGACCCTGAGCTAACATCCATGCCCATCCTCCTCTACTTTATATGTGGGATGCCTGCCACAGCATGGCTTGCCAAGCGATATGTAGGTCCGTACCTGGGGTCCAAACCAGTGAACCCTGGCTGCCGAAGCAGAACGTGCAAACTTAAGTGCTGTGCCACTGGGCCAGCCCTCATTTCAGGTATTTTTAAATAGAGAAGTTTAAATAGCTTCTTCTGGAATTTAAAAAACTTCATATATCTAATTAAAATTTTTTGCTTTGGTCATTCTTTTCTTTCTTTCTCAACGAAATAGTTAAATATTGCAATCTTAGCTATTCTGTTCATCCTTTACACAAAATTCAAAATGGTACAAAATTTAGAACATTTTAATATTAGGTTATTTAGATTTTAGAAAATCACGTGGTACTATTTTTAAGATTGATGTATTTTACCTGTTTACCCTGGAAGCCTCCTTATTTTGCTCTGATTCTTAATGAAGTTAATTTAATTAGCAAAGGTAGAACTCAGTTAATATCAAATTCTGTTCTTTACAAGAATGTTTATTGCTTAGGGAAATCAGAGCTTATAACCTTTTCTTTGGAGCCTTAGGTATAATGCCTACTAAAGAATAAGAAAAACTTTTCCAGAAAGCATACCCATAAAATACAGGTTTTTTGATAAATCAAGTCTAAGCAAGGAATGACCTTGAGAGCCCACAACAGCCCTGAGATGCTGAGAAGTAAGCAACCCGGGTGTTCAGGATCCCAGCTGGTTAGGTAGGGGAGGGGGAATGGGGGTAACAGGGTGTTAAAGGAAGTGGGAAACGGTTTTATATGCATGTTTTGAACTTCTCTCTTCTCTGTAGTTGCAGCATGGCCGGTTAGTTGGGCAAGATATGTAGTCTCCCCTGGAGAACTGGATATAGAGCCAAGATGTGGCCTTTGGGACATAGATAATGCCCTTTTAATGATACTTGAAATTAATTCCTTTAGTGTAATCCTCTAGCAAAGAAATGAGAAAATTGAATTTGTAAAGCTTCCTTTTGCCCAGAGATTTTGGAGTAGAAAAAGGGCTGTATGTTTGTGAATAGATGCTTAAGTAGGTGACGGAAATAAAATATCATTTGAGCAAACTGTCCTATACCAGAAAGTCTCAGGCACCAAAATAGCTTGGCAGGTTGCAAGATAATGTTCACTTCAAGGCTTTATCCTCAACAAATTAAAACTAGAACAGTTGACATAATAGAAACGGGTACTGTGTCCTTGGTACTCTTGTTTCTGAACTGCATTATTATAAAATGTGTCTGTCAGTAAATCATATAGAGAATGTGGTACCCTGTTAAATAGCTGTCAACTCTTCTATTTTCAAGTTCCTGTATGATTCTCAAGTAATTCTGAACCTGTTTGAGAAGTAATATTGGTTTCCTTTTCAGCAAAAGTATGTTTCTTTAGCAATACTTGTGTTCTGAGGCTTCCAGTTACATTTTTAGCAAAGAAAGTATTTCTCAAATAATGGGGGTGATCCTATAATTGGGAATGTATATAGAGTGCTGTTTTTTTTTTTTTTTGAGGAATTACCGGTTGGTAGGATCTATTAATGAAATATCGTGCCCTCTCTGTACCTTTAGTGAATATCAGAGACAGTTTTAATCCCACCGAGTGTCATACGTTGTGTTAAAAGACTGAATGCATCCTAGAATAAGCAATCAATTCACTTCTCAACAGCAACATCTCTTAGTTTAGAAAAGTGGACGGGTGATAGTATTCGATTGCAAGTTTTACTATGACTCTTTAACACTGCTCTCAGAAAGTGGATTTTGATAACAACATACAGCTGTCTCTCACCCTGGCCGCACTCTCCATTGGCCTGTGGTGGACTTTTGATAGATCTAGAAGTGGTTTTGGCCTTGGAGTAGGAATTGCTTTCTTGGCAACCTTGGTCACTCAACTGCTGGTCTATAATGGTGTTTATCAGTAAGTATTCGTTTTGGTGCTTGTTTGCTAAAATAAATAAATGAAAACTGAATTCAGAACTCAGATTTTAAAATTGGGTGAACCACTTTAATGTACAGAGTAATTTATTTCCATTGTAATTATCTTAATAAGTGTCATTGTACTTCCTCTGTGGCTTGTTAAAAACATTTTTATTGTTGCCGATATACATCTCCAGATTTTGTTAAAAACATTTTTATTGTTCCAGATATACATCTCCAGATTTTCTCTATGTTCGTTCTTGGTTACCATGTATATTTTTTGCTGGAGGCATAACAATGGGAAACATTGGTCGGCAACTGGCAATGGTAAGCTGATGATTATTTACTAACTTTTCTGTTACTGAGATGTAAGATAAGTTTTCTCTAAATAGTAGTCCTTCTTTTTCTCTTTTGCAATTCCATTGAGATAAATCATTTGGAAGAATTTAATCACAAGTGTATTAAAAGTTGAAGGAAGCACTAGATAGAAAGCTAAAGTGTGTTATGGATAGGGCGCTATGATTTATCCTCCAATTTTTTTTTTTTAACTAGTCTGTAGATTTCTACTCCATTAGAAAGGGACAACTTTAAAAGTGAAAAGAGACACTGTTAATAACTATGTTGCTACAATAGATAGAAATTAGGACTATCTTCAGCAAGTCAAGATGTTTGATCATTTTTGTTAAGAAGTAAGAGGACATTGTTGATAACTCCAGTCATAGATGATGAGGGTCAGGGAGTAACATTCAGAGGCCACAGCAGTTTCCTTTATTTTGAATTGTGGATGTACATTTTTACAGCTGTACTTTTATTTATGTATTATTTTTTGGTGAGGAAGATTGGCCCTGAGCTAACATCTGTGCCAATCTTCCTCTATTTTGTATATGGGACACCACCACAGCATGGCTTGATGAGCAGTGTGTGGTTCCATGCCTTGGATGCAAACCTGCGAACGCTGGGCTGCTGAAGTTGAGCTTGCAAACTTAACCACGCCACTGAGCTGGCCCCTATAGCTGTACTTTTAAAACATTATTTTGACCAGGAACTTTTGTTAATGTAATAGATTTTTTCCTTTAAATTGTAAAGTGAGTTGAAAAAATCTTATCTGAGTTTACTATATCAGTCCTGTCCTTAAGTTCGTGACCTTTGCTTTGCCGAACCACCTTACTGAGCACTCAAAGAAAGCTATTTTGCTTCCTTTTATACTGTAGGATTGATCTGAATCATGCACTGTTATCGTTTGCTTGTTGTGCAGAAACCTCATTTTTTCCCTTTTTTTGGCTATGTCTCTTTCACTTCTAGAATGTGAATTTTCTTTTACCCTATCACATTTCTCATTTAATCCTAGTAGTTGTGTAACTCTCAGATTCTATGAGGAAATAATATGGGCATATATTAATAAAGCATTAAATTTTAGACTTTTTTAGTTTATTTGGAAATTGCTACTCAAAATAAGCCATACTCTGTTAATCTTTTAACCTTTTAATTTTTACAGTATGAATGTAAAGTTATTGCAGAAAAATCTCATCAGGAATGAAGAAGGCAAAAATATATCTTTTGTACAGAAAAACAAGATGAAAAAGGCATGTAAATGATTTATACCAACAAAACTTCGGACTGTAAAATTGCCAGGATGCAGTTTTCCCTTGATTGGTATGTGTGTGAATATGTATGTACATGTACATATACACACACATGTGCATATATTACTGCAATCTGTGATTGCTTCATCTGTAAATCAGTTACAAACCTTTGTGTATTTGACTTAAATAATTGTAAAATATATATGCATTACATTAAAAAACATGTTGATTAATAGAGGAAATTTTTAAATTAATTTTTTAAACATACCATATATTGTATCACAATGTTGATGTGCCAAAATATTCTGTTGTTGTCATGCAAAGTATAAGAATGCTTTGAACAATTTATAAACTTAGTGGAATAAAATAAGAGGAAAGCCAAAAAAAAGCAACTGAAAAGCTGGTATATTCTCTCTCACTTACTGTTGTGCCTTTTTACTTTTCTAATCACAGCAGTGTGAGTTATGTGTGCCCTAATGTGTGGTTAGTTTCTATATAACCAGAATAAATATGTTTTAGAAATACAAAATGATCTTCTGTAGTGCCACAAAGTGTTTAGTGATATTAACTGTCTTTTGCAATACAGTATTCCACTACTTTTGCACATGGAACACATAAGAAACCCCAAACAGATCAAAATGAAGTTTCTAATTCTCTTAGGTTCTGTCATCTCTTGGGTTCTATAAAGCAAACCACTTTGGCTGGGCTGGGTCATATGACTGGTTGTCAATGGAATGCCATCCAGGGATGGATGGGCACATAATTTCGTATGAATTTGTATGCCCATTAGTGAATAGTTCAAGCCTGTTTAAGACTGTATTGAGATGGCATATTGTACATTTTAAAGATCTTGATAACAGTTTTCTAACAAGTAGAGCCTTTTAAGTATGGTTTAAACATATCCTTAGTTAACTTTTTTCCCAATTTTTATTTTTTGAGATTGATAGCAATTGTCTGATACACAAGGGTGAAATCTTCTGCTTACTCTGGGTGTGTGTGCGTGCGCTATGCTGGACTGAGAGAGAGAGAGAATGTATATGTATATATGTATGTGCATGTGTCAGTGCTTTCTTAATATGTCAAATAGATATTTTTAAATTTTCGGTTTTAAAACCATTGCTGTCAGGCTGGGATCTCATATGCCAAACTTTAATCTGTTTTTACGTTTTAAGGCTGAAAGTGTGGAAATTCTGAGAGGATTTCATATTGAATATGTGTATACAATCTTAACTATAGTGGTGGTAAACATACTACTATAATTTATTATTCTACCTTCCAGATAATGTTATTCATATAGAACAAATAAGGTATATTTTTAGAATCAACTTTGTAAGCACTATAAATCTTTAAGTTATAAGATCTATGATGTGTTTACTTTGAAAATTGCTGTTAAAAGCAAGATGTATTAAATATATAATTATCATCTTGGTTAAGAGTCTTTTTTTCTTCCTCATGGTAAATCTTATAATGCTGAGAATTAATTTAATAAAATTAACGTATATGGTTGGATTTACTACAAAATAATAAAAGGGAACTAAGTTTACTATTTCAGGAATTGAATGATTCTAATTTTGGAGTTGTTAAATTATTTTCAGATCATCTAGAAAACAAGAAAACATATTTATGACAAAAATATAATTGTTTTGCTATGTTGAAAGTATGTAAATATATTACATCTATTTTTTTGCAGTGGGAGAAAGTGGTGAACATCTTTTAACATTGCTATATTGGCAGTGCTTCCTTCCTTTTATTATTTAAAATTATAGAAATTGAACAGTTGAAAACTGAGACTAAATTCTACAAAAGCACAAGAAAATAATTAAAATTAACTAGCCAGAACCCTGCTAATACTTTTGTTATAAAATTTGTTTGCACTGAACTATTTTTCATTAAGGTCATTGGAACCTCTCAGTCATGCGGACATTCACACATCTTGTATTTTCTAGGTGCAACCAGACTTGGTCAGTATCATTAAATACCTCTTTAATCTTCTTTCCTCACTTACCTGCATAATGAAGTATAGTCTTTTTAAAGTAATTCTTCTAGTGATGGTCTGTGAATAGTAGAGTCTTAGTTTTGTGTGTCTGAAAAAGTCTGTTTCATTCTTGAAGAACAGTTTAGCAGGACATAGAATTCTAGGTTCACAGTGTCCCCCCGACTCCTATCACTTTGAAGATTTTTAACTCATTGTCTTATGTCATCTAATGTTGCAGACGACAAGTCTGCTATTAGTGTTATTTTCTTTCCTTTGTAGACAGTCTGCCTTTTCTCTCCAGGAGCTTTTACATGATTTTCTCTCTATCTTCACGGTTATTCAGTTCACTTTGACTTGTTTAGTTTTAGCTTTGTTATTACTTTTTTCCTTTGCTTGGTATTCAATATGCACTTTCAAGCTGTGGGCTCATTTCTTCAATTCTGGAAAAAAACTTAAATCTGGCTGCATATTGGAATCATGTGAGGACTTGTAAAAATATGCTGGTGTCTAGATCTCACCCCCAGAGGTTTTAATCTAAGTGGTCTTGGGTGTGCCCTGAGTGTTAGGATTTTCCTAAGTACCCCAGGTGATTCTCATGTGCCCCCTGGATTGCTGCTCCTGGATACAGGTAGATACATGTAAGATAAGGGGAGGGTTTAGGTGAGAGAGATATGGGGACTTTGGAAATGAAGTGTGAGGGGCTTGCTGAGATATGTTTTAGATGAAATCATCTGAACTTGGTGACTTGAGTGTGAAGGTTAAGGAGGTGTCAAAGGTCACTTAATTTTTCTTTTTTGGAGAGCTAGGTGGGTGGTATTTCTATAAACCAAAAGAAGAATGCAAAGAAGTAGGTGAAGGCGTAAAAGTTAAGGAGTTTGGTTTGATATGTTGAAGTTGAGGTATGTAGGGGACATCTGGTAAAGATGAGTCATAAGCAGTTGGATATTTGATTCTGTGATATTAGATGTAAATGAGGAAGTCATCAACATATGGCAGTAATAAATGAAACTGTGGGAGTAGATGAGATCACCGAGGGAGCTTGTTATGGTGAAAAGAAGAGATCTGAGGCGCACTGGCATGTTGTCAGAGAAGCTAGTGAAGAAAGTGAAGAGGGTGTGGTTAGAAGTGGGAGGAAAAACAGAAGAGTGATGTAGATGGAGCCAAAGCGGAGGGGGCCTCAGGCAGAGGGTAATTGGTAGCATGAAGTGCAGTTGGGGGGAATAATTAACCTTAGAGATAAAGGAGATGATATCTGATTGTTTTTTGTTGAAAAATTTTTTTTCTAACCTATTTCATCTCAATATTTAAAATATTTCGTCATATACTAATAGCTTAAAATATATTTGAGCAGAGCCGAATGCATTAAGTTGTTTATTGTGGGTGAGGAGAACTAGGGGAAGCTAGAGAACTTTGAAGGAGTGGTGATTTGGACAGCGTCTATGAGGAACACAGGCCCTGACTGGAGATGAAGAAAGAATTTCCAGACTGTTTTGAGGCCATCGAGGACCTACGTGAGACTAGAGATCAGATGCTTGCAGTGGAGCCCGTCAACATGGTTGTGCTGTGTCTGAGTGGGCTCAGTAGCCCAGCAGTTTAGGCCAGTTGTAATGAGTGAGTTGAGTCCAGTTGAGAATTCACTGGTAGACTTGGCACAAGGCTATGTGAAAATTAATGGAGGCTCCTAATGAAAGATGGAGAGATTTGCCATGGGATTCAGGCAAATTGGGGAAGGAAGTTGAATCAGTAGTGTTGACCTGACAGCGTGGAAAAATAGGGTGAAGTAAGAAGACCGCAAGTCTTAAGGAGGTTAAAACCCCTGTTTAATGGCAAGAGTCATTGGCTTGGGGTTTGTAGTTAGAGAAGAATTTAGTGGACATTTCCATATCTTGAGCTCCAGGGTGTGATCTAAACAACTGAGTCTGCAAAGTTCACCCCTGTGGGTGGAGATGAATAACAGTGGAGTGGAGATCCAAGGCCTGGGTGAGCAGCTGTTAACATCAGTGTTGATGTTACCTGGAATGATCTCAGAGGTCAGGTGGAAAGGAAGGGTCTTATCTCTGGTCCTCATGACCATTTGAGTGGAATACTTATCCAGCTGCCTTGATTAGATAGGGATTTTAATTAGAGTCCTGTCGCCCTTCCTATATTTATTTATTTTTAGTTTTTTTCGTCATCCTAGGTGTTCTGAAATTTCACCACACCATGTTTGAGTGGGTCTTTTTCTATTAATCCTGTTCAATCAGAGATATCTCTTTAATTCTGGGCAATTTATTTCTGTCTTTGCTGTTACTATTCCTTTATTCACCCCCTCTATTCTTCTAAAATTCCTCTATTCAAGAGATCTTTCACCTGTTGTTTCTGTGTATCCTTTAGCTTTTCTCTGTTGTGCTATGTTCTAGAAGAATTACTTAACTGGATCTTCTGGCTCAGTGAATTGCTCTCAGCTGTATCTATTGGGTGTTCAGCCTATCACTTGATGTCAGTGATCACAATTCTAATTTCCAAGATATTTATTTATTTTTTTGTGTGGAAGTATGTTGTCATTTTTGTATTTTCTGAGATATTAATTACTCTTCTAAAGTTCTAAACTTTTCTGAAGAGCCATTGCAGAGAAGGGCAGGATGAGCCTACCAGCCCATCTCTAGATGTGAGTACTCCCCGCTGTTTGCCTTGGGTGTGCCGTCATGCCTCTCTGAACTTAGTCCTCACTCTTACCACTTGAGACTGGGGGCGGATACTGTGTTGTCTCTGCCCAGTTCAAGGTGGACGAGTAGATGTATGGAGGAAATGGCCAGATAGCTGCTTTCGCAAGAGCCTACTCGAACTCATCCGTTCAGCTGCCCTCGATATTTCCATCTCCGAGCATCAGCCTCCCCTGAGCTTAGAATGTCCCCGGCTTCATCTTCAGCAAGTCCTCTCCTTGAGTATTTTGAGCTGTGGTTTCTCTCCGTCTGCCTACTCTCAACTCTTCTCTCGCTTTCAGGGATTCTTTCTAGTGTCTGGTCCTTGACGATACTTCTCCTTATCTGTCACTATAGTTGTAGATTCCTTTTCTTTTTAAAAATCTTTTTTTTGGCTATTATTTCTGTGGATTTGGGATAGGAGGGAGAATCTACAGCTTGACTAGTCTGCCATCCTAATTCAACCTTTCCCCACCAGTTGTTCATACATTTGCCTGATCATTTGTCTTTACATTTCAGAAACTCAGTTTAGTTGGGAGCTGAGATAAATAGGTTAAGTTGGTGGTTTCTTACTGGGTCTCAGTAAAAATTGGGGTCTGGAGATTTTTTTTCCCTCTCAAAATACGTGTAGTTCATTGAGTTCATCGTGTCAGGAAGTGTAAGTATACTAGTATCTGTTCCTTTATGCCTCCCTTCTTTTTATCACTGATGAAATCTGTGAAACCTGTCATCTTTCTTTGTGATTTACAAGACAGACTTTTCCAGGGTATGTCAACTCGTCTGAAGACAATGTTGTTAAGTATCAGATTTGGCAGATCAGATAGATAATGATGTGCCTGGGAAAGGCTGGGCTATTGATGAGCCTCGTGTCAAAACTGATTGCCATATATGGGCAATTTTTCCCTTTCACCGTTGCCCTGGTTGTCGTCTCTGTGAGGATTTTGATGAACAAGGGGCAGTTTTGATTCCAAATCAAAATTGTGTGCTGATGCAACTGTGTACATCTATTCTGCTTTTTCATGTCAGGATTTGTAACTGCTGATCGTTCTGTGGCTTCCCAGAGGTGGGCTTTAAAAGTAATGAGCACTTAGGAAGTGTATTGCTGTTTAAAAATAATCCTTTTTTGTTACTGTTCTGAAAACAATAAATTCAATCAGTATCACTGTGTTTCCATGAGATTGTTTCGTTTGCAGGATTTGTCTCTCTTTTAGAAACACTTTTTGAGGAAACTGGTACAGAATATGATCTTGGGAAGATTCATTGTGATGAGCAATTGAGTAGACAAAGAAAAGAAGGAATCCAAGTGCTGAATCTGTTTTAGAAGAAGAATTTCTAAAATGCATTCTCTGGGAGTTTCTGCTGTTGAAGGAAACTCATTTCTATTCCCTTTATAGTCATCACATGTCACTCCTAGATCTTCTGGGAATGTCTGCTCAACCAAAGTATGACAGTGGCAATTCTGTTTTGAAACAGTTCTTTCTGCTTTTACAAAAGCTTGAGATTTTCTAGCAGGACATTAAAGAAAGACGAAGTGCTACCCCTTCACCTTAGGATCAGCTGGATGCAGCTGCTGTGCAGTCTGCACACTGGGCCTGGGGAGCCTGCAGACTGATAAATTGAAGATGAAGCTTAAAGATGTAAAGACAAAACTTTGTGGAATTTTCTGTGCCTCAGACCTAGTGTGTGTCAATATCAACCCTGCCCAAGAGAAAGTAGGTCAGTATATGTTGAAGCAAATCTTTCCAGAATATATGTAAAATTCTGAATAAAATTGGGTCAAGTTCAGCTCTTTTCCAGAAAAAATAAATTAGTGATCCTTAAATGTTTGTTAGGATTAGTTCTGGTCTTATGGACCTGACTAACTGCAAGGAGGCTGGGCTGGATAATCCCTCCCCTGAGGGACAGGAGAGCCATGTCTGGGCGGTCGCTGGTAATGTCCACTGCAGTTGGTGTAAAGCGTTTCGTAGCACACTCTTCCCACTATGAAATTTTCCTTCCTGAGTGATCCATAGCGAACACAACTATAAGAAAATAAAATATATTTTTTTATTGGGAAAATTAAAATTACAGTCTTTAAAATACATAAAATAGAAGCTTTGTATCCAAGTCCTGGAATGGTGGCAAAGAAGTCAGCGGTTCATTTTTGTGTCTTCCTGTCATCTAAAAGGAGAGGTGTTTCCGTTGTGCCTCCTACGAACATGCTTGCAGCACCCCTGCAGTTATTGACCGTTTATGGCTGCCACCATCCGTGTTTTTCTGGATGGCAGAACAGGGTTTCAAACTCTGGTCTGACTTCGCTCTGACAACGAAGGATTCTCCTCCACCACACTGTACTGTCCCTGCAAGTCCCTGCAAGTCGTCTCACGTACGCATTCGCAGCAGCTTTCTGAGACCATTGCTCAGAGTAAGCGACGTGGCGCTGCAGGCATTGCTGACACAAAAGCGACCTTGTCTTCACAGACATACCTTATGTTTAATATGCTAATCCACTCTGGAATCTGGGTTCTTTAGGAAGTGAATATAAGCATTCTTAGCCTCACGACTGACTTCAGCTCTCAGTGAATGGCTAGACTTGGGCATCAAGCTTCTCTCCATAACATATTCCACTGCAGCCTCCACAGGCACAGTCCTATATAGAAATCTGACAGAACAGAAAGGAGATAAATTATTTTTAACAAGTTTTGACTTCTGACCTTTTAAAAAGTTCAGTCTGAGAGAAGTCTGTGTGAATTATTGTGCTGGGTAGTGTAGTTTTTGATGTGCATTACTTACGTAATGCGTAAGTACTGGTCTTGTGGGATCCATGCAAATGGGTTGTGTAGATGGTAAGTTTGTAAGAGTAAGAACAGGGTATTAACACACTGGTCCAAAAAGGCCTCTGAAAGGTGGGGGCACAGGTACTGAGGAGGTTTGAGGGAAGGGTCAACTCAGCTTGAGGAGGGGAGGGCATCTCTCGTGTGGGATGGACAGGAAGACAGCATGGACAGACAGGTGAATGTGTTCTGAAGAATCCACGAAGTCCAGTCTGGGAGTAGTAAAGATTGCAGTTAAGGAAGTGGTGGGAGATAGTACTTAACATCTAGAGAGTGACTTCACTTTAGGGATTTAAATGGCTCCCATAATGCCTCCTGGCAGGGCATGCTTCTGCTTACAAGGTCCACAGCTGCCCATGGGGTTACTTCTAGGAGGCCTGCAAGCTGAGACCGCCCCATCTACCACAGTTTGTAGCCTTCCCATTATCAATCAATCAACATTGTTATCAGACTTTAATTGAATAAGAATGTTCTGAGGCTGATCAAGGTGTGATCCTGAGGTTTGGCAGAGAGAAGGGGTAGTTGGACTCAAACAAATCCAGGCTTGAAAACCAGATGAGTTAAAGAGGGGAAGCCTGGGCAATCCCCAAGCTTTCTAAAGCTCAGTTTTCTCAGCTGTAAAATGGAGATACACTACCACCTTCTTTTGAGGGCTGTTAACATTAAATGCAATAATATGTAAACAGGCATCCAGTTAAACATTAGTTCCTTTCCTTTTCTGTTCATTCATTTCAAAGAATGGGTACGGAGCCAGAACATCAGCATTTCTTTTGCATTAGGATACTTCCCTAATGTTTCTGTCTAAATGAAAGTAAGCATAATGCAGGAATCCACTCTGCCCGCTGACCACCTTCCACAGCTTCACTCATCAGGAAGTCAGGTTAATTACAGGGAGCAGCTTCCTAGGGAAGTAGGGCAGATGCTGGCCATTCGCTTTTATATGGAGGAGTTGATTGTCGGGCTGGAGGTTTGGCCAGGTTAGACAGGGGGTGTTATCGAGGGAGGGAAGCTCAGATGAGGTGTCACAGGATGGCATGAGGACACCACAGGGAAGGAAGGATGTAGGGAACAGGAGATAGGTTTTGTCAGCATCTTATTTTCACCAAGGGATGATGGCTCTGTCCTCATACTTTACAGTGTCACCACTGTGAGATTGCAGTTTCCCGAAGGAGTTACATTTTAATTAGCCGTAAGCTACCTGATTTCTGATGTATCAGTCCTTTTCTCCAGGCTTCATCTTTTGGATTATTTTTGCTCGTGTCCGCCACTGGCCTACTCCTTTCATGTGTGTGAGAAGGAAGCCACCAAGCAGCCTGGAAATCCCATTACCAGACCTCGGGATATTAATTGTCGAGTTCTCCCCCACGGTTACACAAGTGCTGAAAAAGTGGTTCTCTTTCAATAGTGTCTTGTCAAAACGCCAGGCACAGTTTGTTTTTGACATTTGCTGCTACTGTTAAATAATAGTCTTGCTTCTGTCATAGCTAATGTTGACTTGAAGGCGCTTGGAGGGCATTTCTCAACTCCAGCCTTAACAGGGAAGCCTGGGTCTCGACAGATATTTTTCTTGCTTGCCCAAGGCAACTGAATTTAAGGGTTCCAACCTTTGCTTTTCTAAGCTCAAGAAAATTTCAAATGGGCACACACCACTTAAAACTTTAGATCTAATTGTGCACATGCGCATGTACTTACAGCCATAAACACAGACAGACACACGCACAAGTTGGAGTTCTTGAAGTTTTGCCATCCTAGGAATGACATTTGCATCAATTAAATAGTATCCCATTTTAGGACCCCTTAAATCCTGGCTGTTCTGCCTTGGTAAACCTTTAACTGTTAGGATGTCATACTTAATTACAGATCTCTTTAAAATCAATAAGCAGTTTTATTGTTTCTTTATTTGCAATGGAGCAAGCCTCTAAGAACTGCCCAGCCAGCAGCATGCACCCGTGCCATCTGCCAGAGTCTGGGCTCTTCACACACACTACTTTCTTCCGTTGCTATGTGCATTCACAATTTAATTTATGTGCCTATTTTCCCCTTTAGTAAGAAGTCATCTTTTGGATTTTTCCTGCAATGTCTTAGAGATGATTGTGTAAAGATCTCCTTCTAATGGCATCATAATTTCTGAAACGTTCACCATTTGTGAGGTAATGAAGGGAAGGGTGAGAAAAGAAATTGAGCCAAGGAAGTGAGCACTGTACAAGAATTCTGTGGAACTGCATAGCATTTGGCATCGTTTGTATGTGAAGAGGCCAAGAAATGCAGTTGGTTTCAAAATAAAGGAATGGTTGGTGAGACAAGTCTGTTTTGCGGTTTGAGAAAAATAGAAGTATACCAGTCATTAGGATTTCCAGTAACTAAGGCAACTGGGTTTGGAGCTTTTTATAGGGAGCCGTGGATTGTAAACCTAATGGATGGGTGTCCATCATGCCCTGCAACACATTTTTCTCTGACTACACCTGTGTCACAAAATTCATCTTCAAATTTTGCAAAATCGTTTTTGGGACTTTGCAAACATGAACTCTGAGCGTATTAATTATCCTCCTATCACCTCTCACTCTCTCTCTCTTTCCTTTCATCCTGAGTCTGGTGTCTGTTGGGAGACTCGTTTTAGAGGACAACAGGTTTTCTTCTTCTGGGAGGAATGCAGCTTCCTTTAAAATCGAGATGTAATTATCCTGTGATGATTCATAGCCACTTAACTGAATTATAAGATTCACAGAGAAGAATGGTGCAGCTGGAAGGCATCCTAAAATTCATCTAGGACGGTCCAGTCTTGTCGTTTTACAAAGGTGGAAGCAAAATTCACATTGGTCAAGTGCTTGTCCCAGGTCACAGAACACATTAGGGGCAGAATGAGATGTTTTAGTGGCTTTAACAGGGCATTAACAGTTCACGAAAAATGTACATTTAATTTTATAAGTATACAAGATTTATGGCAATGTTGACAACTGGTAGGAAATGGACGTTGATGAATTATGAATGTTTCTATCATGAAGGGCAATTATTTGTTACTTTAATAGCTGGTAAATAACATTGAGTGTTTATTTTATGCTTTTACGTGTACAATCTCTTTTATTTACTCCATTAAAGCTATGAGGTAAATATCACTATTTATAAAGGCATAAAGTGAGACCTTTATATGTGAAGAAACAGAGGCTTACGGAGATCATATATAACCTGCCAGTGTCACACAAGTAGACTACCGCTCGAGTGGAACCCAAGCCTCATGCTTCCCAGGCTGCTTCTGCACTGCGTGTGATGTCCACACAGGACTGTGTTAGTGGAATCGGGTTTATTCCTATGAAATGTTAGATGTGGAACTTAAACATGTATGTGAAAGTCACACCCTTGCCCTTCCT